CCATTCACACGGCCCTCAATAAACATCTCCGTCTCGCACGGGTAGATGACGACTGTCGCCAGGTACTCACCTGAATCCAACTTCTCCAGATGCGTCTTGCCAAGAGCCCTGATGTCGCAGTCCTCGCCAAAATTCACCTTCACGTGCATCTCGTACTCGGTGGTGTCGTTGTAGTAAGCCCACTGCCTCTTTTTGTTATTCACGATGCGGAAGAGGAGGCCATTGCCCTCGTCAAACCCCTTCACCACCTCGTCACCCTCGAACGTTGGCCTGCCGTTCACGTACACGACGGAGGGAGACTTCGATGCGCCGCAGCCCATGGCTGGCCAAAATTTACGAAACGGTTGCGAAGGGGACTTAGATTCTTCTTGTTGGTTGCTGTGCGCCGGAGTGTTCGTGCATGCGTGTAAGTTAGGGGCAGAGGAAAAGACAAAAAGAAGAAAGGGCACACATGTATCCATGTGCGTGGCCCAAACAAACGCGGTGAGAGACGACACCCGCACGCACCGTGCACGAACGGGGAGAGGCGGTAGAAGGGGGAGGGAAAACAAAAACAACAAAAAAAAGGATAATAAAAGATGGGGGAAGAGAAAAAAAAATCGTGCTGAATTCTCCTGCCCTCAGTTTTCTTTCTGCCGTTGGCGCTTTCTCCTCCGTGCAGCGCGAAGGTGTGACTGCACAGCTCATTGAACCATCGAAATGCAAGCAGACCTCCACTGGTGTAGACTTGCACTTACACGTATGCGCGTATGCGTGGGAGTAGCAAAAAACACAAGAACGGAGGTGAGTACGGCGGAAGAAAAAACAAAAACAAAAGGAGAGCACACTCCCCCAACCCACGGCCTCGTTGCCGCTCACTCGCCCACACAAGTTTTCCGCCTTCCTGTCGCTGCTGTTTTTCTTCCTCCTCCTTCTGCGTTGCTTCACTTTACCCCCGTGACTGCGAGGCCAACGCACCGGAGGGATGTTTGAGTGGGTGGTCAGCACAACGGCACATTTACTCTGGCCTCGTCTTCTGCAGCTCCGGCCCACTGCTGTTGTCCCGCCCCTCCCCATACCTCGTGAAGGCGGCAACGGGGTCGCGCCAGACGTCCTCCACCAATGTCAGGAGCAAATCCCTGCGGTCCTCCATCTCCGACTCCCAGTTCTCTACGGCATCAGCAAGCTCGTCCTCATCCGCATCGTCAAACGCCTCGTCGTCCTCTGGGTGCGGCAGCATTTTGCTGAACACCTCCAAAAAACTCCACCCCCGCGTTGTCAGCGGCGACCGTTCGCGCTTCAGGCCCGCGCCGCGCTTAGTTGTGTCCGCGTCCGCGTTGTCGCCGTCGCTGACGTCTTCGGGGCCGTGACCCGGCTTCCACGTGACGCCAGAAAAGCGGCAGACATCATCCACGTCACCTTCATCATCCCTGACGTCGTTGTCGTCCTTATGCTTACCCTCGCAGTTATCTTCCTTTTCTTTATCCACCTCCCCCTCGTCGTTGTCGACCGCGTAGTGGCGGTCCTCCCCCCACAAAACCGTCTCCTCAAAGAAGGGGTTGGGTGCGAACTCCAGCGTGACCCTCATACCCGCTTCTGTGTACTCCACCCTCATATCCCGCAGGTGCTCCCGCAGCAGCGCGGCGTCGTAGGTGCCAAGCAGGCGGCCTCCTTCGCTGCCCGCTTCCTCAGTGGTTTCAAGCGCCACAATGATGGCATCCGCCCAGAAGGTGCGGGGAAGCTCACCGCTCGCAATTGCCTTTACAATCAGCTCGTGTCGGGCCGTGTAGTGGAGGTTCCTCCTTAAGTTGCCCCCAATCACAATCTTCCTGACACACTTGTGCAACTCCGCCTGTAGCACATCAATCTGCGCCTGCAGCTCACGAGCCAGAGTGCCCGTCGCCACAGAAGCCGTCATTGTCCCTCTGCACCGTGCCGATTAGGGATCGTCGTCGCACTCCGTCCGTGTTCCTCGGCTACTGTCTCCTCCCAGTGACTGCCTATCGCTCGCTCTCTGTATGTAGGTATGTACGTGTGCGTGCCTGCTTCGCAGCCTCCGCCACCACGTGTGCTATCCTCTTATATTCCCCTTTTTCCGTGTGAGTGGGGGAGTGCCGCGCAATCAAGGGAAAAGAACGATGAACCAAAGCGAACACGCACATACATGCGGTGAGACAGACACGCACAGAGACAGGCACACTACAAAAAAATAAAATAAAATCCTGCACGCACGCACGTCTTCTTCTCGAAAGGCAAATCGCAGCAGCAGCATGGAGAACAACACGTAGAAATGGGGGCTGAGAGAGAGACGTAAAGGTGTGCACCGGCAGCTGAATCATGCATTCCTTTGTATTTGCCTGGAACGCACCCTCGCCCTTATATTTCAATGAATAATGACAAAGAAAAATTGCAGGTCGGTCCAAGGTGCGCCCAGCATCCCTCTCTTCCCCCATCACCACACATCCACAAAAAAAAAAAAAAGATTTATCACACACACAAACATGCAAAGAAAATATATATATATTCGCAAGGTCGTTGTAGTGATCGTTGGGTCCTCGTTGGGAACGCATAAAACGGCAGTTTGTAGAGTGGCACTCACACCTCACAACCGCCCAACGCCCTCTCACGTGTGGAGGATTGTGGCGGTAGTGGCGGGGCTCTGTAGAGCTGGAGTACACACAAAAATGATAACGGCCACACTCACGCCGACTCTCAAAGCCCGGTATCGTAGAAAACAAAAATAATTGCAAAAATAAAAATGTGGTCTTAGTGGCGGCACTACCACTACTAGTCGTAGTAGTAGTAGTAAACAAGCAAATTGACCTGCCAGGTGACTTGCATCCATTCCTCCCCCTCCCTCCCCTCCCCTCTATTATAGCCGGACGTACACGGTCACCCTACCCTGCCCTGCCCTGCCCTTCCCCCTTCCCTTCCCCCATTCCCTTCCCTTCCCCCTTCCCTTCCCTTCCCTTCCCTTCTCTGCCCCTCGTTATTTCCTCTCTCGACCTCGACCTCCCTCTGCGACCACCAGGCGTAAGACAACAGAAAAGAAAATTAAAAAAAGTCGGCGTGCAACTGTGCATTAATGGGGGCCACTCCGTTTTTTGTGTATATACATGACAACATCAATGT